TTCAAGACACATTCTCACCAAATACAAGTGAATTAAATCCAAGCACAAGGATAACTCAAAGTCTACGAAGCAAGAAAACAAATAAGAATATTGAATTGCAATAGCAATACAACTACAACATGACAAGATATTCCAGAGATACTAACAATCAAAGCTGAGACAGATATAAGAGCTAGGTTATCTCAACAAGAAAAGTAAATGCCAAAGACTAAGCCTTTGCATTGCGATTTTACTGAAAATAAAGCTAATGATTGAATATAAAGATTCAAGACACATTCTCACCAAATACAAGTGAATTAAATCCCAGCACAAGGATAACTCAAAGTCTACGAAGCAAGAAAACAAATAAGAATATTGAATTGCAATAGCAATACAACTACAACATGACAAGATATTCCAGAGATACTAACAATCAAAGCTGAGACAGATATAAGAGCTAGGTTATCTCAACAAGAAAAGTAAATGCCAAAGACTAAGCCTTTGCATTGCGATTTTACTGAAAATAAAGCTAATGATTGAATATAAAGATTCAAGACACATTCTCACCAAATACAAGTGAATTAAATCTCAGCACAAGTCTACGGAGCAAGAAAACAAAATAAGAATATTCAATCGCAATAGCAATACAACACGAGAAGACGTTCCAGAGATACTAACAATCAAAGCTGAGACAGATATAAGACATAGGTTATCCCTACAAGAAAACTAAATGCCGAAGACTAAGCGTTTGCATTGCGATTTTACTGACCATAAAGCTAATACAAACGAATTAAATCCCAGCACAAAGATAACTCAAAGTCTACGAGGCAAGACAACAAAATAAGAATAATGAATTGCAATAGAAATACAACATGAGAAGACAGATATAAGAGATATGTTTTTCAAACAAGAAAACTAAATGGCAAAGAAAAAAACGACATAAAGAGGATAGTGCTCTGCGAGGACAAATAGAAGAGCTGAATAGGAACTAAAGGACACGAGGAGAATCATCAAGAAATGAAAAGAATATTGACATATGGATGTGTTATATACAAGAATGGTTTTAATTATTCAAGAATAAGTAAATCATCACATAGAGCGTAACGAAGGATTAAAGTACAATGGAACATGGACAATTGCTTTTGTATATTGGAGCTTTATTTACAACTTGAAGCTGGAAAGGAATCCTCACAATTTTGGCTAAACTGCTATAGATAACATGCTCGTCTTAATTAGCAGATAGAAAAAGCTTTACAGAAGGATGAAGAGATTTTCAGAAAAAAGCAAAAAATAGTGCATGTTTGACATTGCCTGTTAGGTTTTATAATTACTATTTTCGTTATATATAACCGTACGTCCTGTGTCCCAAGTGCAGGAGTCACCATTGCACTGTGGTGATAGCCGGGAGTACGTATATACACCTTGCATATATATATATATATATATAGGAGTGTATAAAAATTTTGTCTTTACTGTACCAAGCTTGTTTAAATTCGCATGCATGTTTAGTCTGTGCGGTTTCGAGTTCTTTAGTTTCTGTCCAGTGAAGTGTAAATATACACACTAACATTGTACTGTCTTGCACGAAAATACTGTAAAATACAGGCAAACAAGGTTTGAAAATATTTTGCAAACTGAACATCAAGATCGGAAATAAAAGTTTGTCCCAGCAACCAACAAATGAAGCAGTAGTCTTTCAGGAAGGTCACAGATAGATATATACCGCTTTGAATATAAGAACATATATATAGCCAAATTGACCAACAATAAGGAAACCCAAATTAGCCTACAAAACAAAACAACAAAACGCAAAGCACCCAAACAAAACCATCAATAATACGTAGTACCGACGAAACAAGCCTTATAAAGCCTTTTCATGTATTCAATTGTATATGGATATAATGATATATAAATCCCAGCGTAAGAATAACTCAAAGTCTAAGAAGCAAGACAAGAAAATAAAAATAATGAAGCGAATTAGCAAGACAACTACAACATGACAAGATATTCCAGAGATACTAACAATCAAAGCTGAGACGGATATAAGACATAGGTTATCCCTACAAGAAAACTAAATGCCGAAGACTAAGCGTTTGCATTGCGATTTTACTGACCATAAAGCTAATACAAACGAATTAAATCCCAGCACAATGATAACTCAAAGTCTACGAGGCAAGACAACAAAATAAGAATAATGAATCGCAATAGAAATACAACATGAGAAGACAATCCAGAGATACTAACAAAAAAAACAGAGACACATATAAGACATATGTTTTCCAAACAAGAAAACTAAATGGCTAAGAAAAAAACGACATAAAGAGGATAGTGCTCTGCGAGGACAAATAGAAGAGCTGAATAGGAACTAAAGGACACGAGGAGAATCATCAAGAAATGAAAAGAATATTGACATATGGATGTGTTATATACAAGAATGGTTTTAATTATTCAAGAATAAGTAAATCATCACATAGAGCGTAACGAAGGATTAAAGTACAATGGAACATGGACAATTGCTTTTGTATATTGAGCTTTATTTACAACTTGAAGCTGGAAAGGAATCCTCACAATTTTGGCTAAACTGCTATAGATAACATGCTCGTCTTAATTAGCAGATAGAAAAAGCTTTACAGAAGGATGAAGAGCTTATCAGAAAAAGCACAAAAATAGTGCATGTTTGACATTGCCTGTTAGGTTTTATAATTACTATTTTCGTTATATATAACCTTACGTCCTGTGTCCCAAGTGCAGGAGTCACCATTGCACTGTGGTGATAGCCGGAGAGTACGTTGTATATACACCTTGCATATATATATATATATATATATAGGAGTGTATAAAAATTTTGTCTTTACTGTACCAAGCTTGTTTAAATTCGCATGCTTTTAGTCTGTGCGGTTTCGAGTTCTTTAGTTTCTGTCCAGTGAAGTGGAAATATACACACTAACATTGTACTGTCTTGCACGAAAATACTGTAAAATACAGGCAAACAAGGTTTGAAAATATTTTGCAAACTGAACATCAAGATCGGAAATAAAAGTTTGTCCCAGCAACCAACAAATGAAGCAGTAGTCTTTCAGGAAGGTCACAGATAGATATATACCACTTTGAATATAAGAACATATATATAGCCAAATTGACCAACAATAACGAAACCCAAATTAGCCTACAAAGCAAAACAACAAAACGCAAAGCACCCAAACAAAACCATCAATAATACGTAGTACCGACGAAACAAGCCTTATAAAGCCTTTTCATGTATTCAAATGTATATGGATATAATGATATATAAATCCCAGCGTAAGGATAACTCAAAGTCTACGAAGCAAGACAACAAAATAAAAATAATGAAGCGAATTAGCAATACAACTACAACATGACAAGATATTCCAGAGATACTAACAATCAAAGCTGAGACAGATATAAGAGCTAGGTTATCCCAACAAGAAAAGTAAATGCCAAAGACTAAGCCTTTGCATTGCGATTTTACTGAACATAAAGATGATTGAATATAAAGATTCAAGACACATTCTCACCAAATACAAGTGAATTAAATCCCAGCACAAGGATAACTCAAAGTCTACGAAGCAAGAAAACAAAATAAGAATATTGAATTGCAATAGCAATACAGCACGAGAAGACGTTCCAGAGATACTAACAATCAAAGCTGAGACAGATATAAGACATAGGTTATCCCTACAAGAAAACTAAATGCCGAAGACTAAGCCTTGTATTGCGATTTTCCTGACCATAAAGCTAATACAAACGAATTAAATCCCAGCACAAAGATAACTCAAAGTCTACGACAAGACAAAATAAGAATAATGAATCGCAATTGAAATACAACATGAGAAGACGTTCCAGAGATACTAACAATCAAAGCTGAGACAGATATAAGAGCTAGGTTATCCTAACAAGAAAGCAAATGCCAAAGACTAAGCCTTGCATTGCGATTTTACTGAACATAAAGCTATTGATTGAATATAAAGATTCAAGACACATTCTCACCAAATACAAGTGAATTAAATCCCAGCACAAGGATAACTCAAAGCCTACGAAGCAAGAAAACAAAATAAGAATATTGAATCGCAATAGCAATACAGCACGACAACACGTTCCAGATACCAACAATCGAAGCTGAAACAAATATAAGACATAAGTTATCTTTACAAGAAAACTAAATGCCGAAGACTAAGCGTTTGCATTGCGATTTTACTGACCACAAAGCTAATTCAAACGAATTAAATCCCAGCACAAAGATAACTCAAAGTCTACGTGCAAGACAATAGAATATTGAATTGCAATAGCAATACAACAAGAGAGACGTTCCAGAGATACTAAAAATCAAAGCTGAGACAGATATAAGACATAGGTTATCCCTACAAGAAAACTAAATGCCAAAGACTAAGTGTTTCATTGCGATTTTACTGACCATAAAATACAAACGAATTAAATCCAGCACAAAGATAACTCAAAGTCTACGAAGCAAGACAAAAAATAATGAAGGAATTAACAATACAACTACAACATGACAAGATATTCCAGAGATACTAACAATCAAAGCTGAGACAGATATAAGAGCTACGTTATCCCAACAAGAAAGTAAATGCCAAAGACTAAGCCTTTGCATTACGATTTTACTGAACATAAAGATGATTGAATATAAAGATTCAAGACACATTCTCACCAAATACAAGTGAATTGAATCCCAGCACAAGGATAACTCAAAGTAGATAACATGCTCGTCTTAATTAGCAGATAGAAAAAGCTTTACAGAAGGATGAAGAGCTTATCAGAAGAAAGGACAAAAATAGTGCATGTTTGACATTGCCTGTTAGGTTTTTATAATTACTATTTTCGTTATATATAACGGTACGTCCTGTGTCCCAAGTGCAGGAGTCACCATTGCACTGTGGTGATAGCCGGGAGAGTACGTTGTATATACACCTTGCATATATATATATATATATATATATATAGGAGTGTATAAAAACTTTTGTCTTTACTGTACCAAGCTTGTTTAAATTCGCATGCATGTTTAGTCTGTGCGGTTTCGAGTTCTTTAGTTTCTGTCCAGTGAAGTGTGAATATACACACTAACATTGTACTGTCTTGCACGAAAATACTGTAAAATACAGGCAAACAAGGTTTGAACCAACAAACATTGTATTATTTCCTTGGGAAGACTTTAACGATTTCATGGAACAAAAAATAAACCTAGTCAATGCACATTTTCAATACATCTATGGTTTTGTTACTTATTCATTTTGAATGATCATTTGTTCACTCGACTGTTTGGTGTTAAGTAACTATTTAAATATTCAATTATTAGGCAAATTGTTACAATCATAAATGGTGTCAAATTTATTTCATTTTTTTAAGGAATTACACAGCGGAGGAAGATCAAAAGTTGTTAACGTACATAAAAGAACATTAAAGAAAAGTGTACGGCAACAACTTTTGGAAAAAATGAAAGAAAATGTAATGCATTGACGATTATTTCGTAAAATGGGATCAGCACTTTGATATAATTTGCCTGATCTAAATTTCTCTAGATCATTGAAGGAAGAACGTGGCAAATCCTGAAAGGCCGTTACAATAGATATTTCAGTAAGTAAGTCAATTAATAAACACATGTTTGCTTTCAGTTTGGTAAATGTCAAAGAGATATAAGAATTACATGTGAAGAAGATAAATATTTGATTTCTATGGATTATTAAAGCTTAAGTTTGATTTTGATATCAAGAAACACACATTTAGGCTTGCTTTATCTATTCCTTGATTACAGAAAACACGACTGAAGATGAGCCGTCTCCTCAATTTTGAAAAAGCCATCAAGTAGTTTTTATGATGCTAAGAGGACAATTACATGGAGCAATTTCAACCCGGGCTTAGTTTCAGCCTGTTTGTCGTGCTGAAATTTCAGCAAGGTTCTGTTACAAACAGAATGTAAAATAAATAAATATTAATACAATATAATATAGATGAAATTATACGTGATATAATTTAGATATTTATATAATATATGTATTTATATTTACAATATTTAACACCGGATCCAAAGCAAAGTACATACTTTTGAAGCGTTATTCTTCTTTATAACAAAGCTCATGGTGTTTGTATTGAAAAATAAGCGAGAAGTTAGCTTTTCTGAACAAGATTCAATCAAAAGATTTGAGAATATCATTTACTCACGTGCATGTCAGGAAAGAAGGGCCTGGGCACAAGGTGCTCTACCATATCTGAAATAGCCTTCACCCACATTCAACGATATCACTCTCAACTACAAACTCATCACCTCTGTTGCCGTTATTGTTATTACCACTGTTACCACCACTCTAATCATCACCGTTTCATTCGCAGCTGTCGTCTTTGTCTTTATGTATTTTGTTCCACCAGCGAAAGAAAAAACTGTCAACTTTTATTTGTTGGTTCCTTCTAGGATAGTTTCCATATTTGTCGGTCCCGAAAGAATAACTATTAATTTTGGTTCTATTTCCACACGCAACAAAGATAGTGTGAACCAGTTATATTTCTCAAACAATTTATTAATCAAGGTGTAAATGTTAAAGTAGATAAGTGTCTTAATAATAATATCAATAAGTATGAGCAAAACTTATCTCCTCTGTCTGAGTACAACCAAGAGTTTTATTCTGAGGGTTCGTGAGTCCAACAATGACTCACAATAGTTTTCCAATAGATTAAAGCACAGTAAAATATGGATGATGTATAATCACTTGCACAATTTTATTGATTAATATTGTTAACAGCAGATGTCATCAACGTTTGGCTCGTGCTAAATTTTCGTAAATGGAAGATGTATTCTATCAATTTATATACAGTCTAGATGTAATTTATCAACATATAATATTACACTTCAAAACTTCATTGTATTCAGCCTTATTGATCCTTGAATATTCTACAGAACGGCATTTCGTGATTAAACATATTTTCCTTAATGTTGGTTTGGTGATACATCTTTCAGCGTCAACAACAGAAAATAGTTAAAACAATATTTTACCATATGTGTGAAGTTTTTCTTGGCAAATTTCTCAATACATAACATGTATTTGTAGTTAATCCGTTGTTTTATTTTTGTAGTTTGTTGTAGCTCTTTTAAAATTTTGTCATTATACTTGTGATGAAAGGTAGACAATCCAGATAAAGGCAGATATGGTAAAACATTGGCATGACCATTACCCTTTGCAGGGCCTTTGTGTCCAGGGGACGAAACGATAATAAATAAACATTGAAAAAAGTCAAAAATGTTCGGTGAGAAATCTTCAAAACACAGTTGTATGAATGCATTGAAAGCAAATTTTTACCATGCCTATGTTATAGAAATACAAGCAAGTGGTTAGTTTGTTTTATATCTCACTGCTATACTGTCCTAGTTTTTGTGGACGTGCCAGGAATCATATCTTCACATTAAGAATAATCTAGGAGATTTTGTCGATCTATAAGTAGTTATGCATGGCCTTATGGGAAGAAAATAAATAAAAAGCTCTGCTGCTTGAGTTCCAAATTAGCAACGAGATGAGAATTTAACAGTTTTACATGTATTGCGGCTATTGCCTGTGATAAATCACCATTGAGCATCTGGACACAGCGAATGATGTTAGGATTTCATTGTAATTGAGGGAGCAAAGTGGATTTGGTTTTGTTTCTAAACAAGTTCTATGGTTTTGGTTTCCCAAGTCTAGAATTGTTCTCTAAACACAAAAAAATCAAATGATTTGACTCAATGACTGGAGTCATATTTTACTTGTGCATGTTTGACATTGCCTGTTAGGTTTTATAATTACTATTTTCGTTTTATATAAACGTACGTCCTGTGTCTCAACTGCAGGAGTCAACATTGCACTGTGGTGATAGCCAGGAGAGCATTGTATACACCTTGCTTATATATATATATATATATATAGAGTGTATAAAAAATTTGTGTTTACTGTACCAAGCTTGTTTAAATTCGCAAGCATGTTTAGTCTGTTTTCATTTCTCTCCAAAGACTAAGCGTTTGCATTGCGATTTTACTGACCATAAAGCTAATACAAACGAATTAAATCCCAGCACAAAGATAACTCAAAGTCTACGAAGCAAGACAACAAAATAAGAATAATGAATCGCAATAGAAATACAACATGAGAAGACGTTCCAGAGATACTAACAATCAAAGCTGAGAAACATATAAGACATATGTTTTCCAAACAAGAAAACTAAATGGCAAAGAAACAAACAACATAAAGAGGATAGTGCTCTGCGAGGACAAATAGAAGAGCTGAATAGGAACTAAAGGACACGAGGAGAATCATCAAGAAATGAAACGAATATTGACTTATCGATGTTTTATATAGAAGAATGGTTTTAATTATTCAAGAATAAGTAAATCATCACATAGAGCGTAACGAAGGATTAAAGTAAAATGGAACATGGACAATTGCTTTTGTATATTGGAGCTTTATTTACAACTTGAAGCTGGAAAGGAATCCTCACAATTTTGGCTAAACTGCTATAGATAACATGCTCGTCTTAATTAGCAGATAGAAAAAGCTTTACAGAAGGATGAAGAGCTTATCAGAAAAAAAGCACAAAAATAGTGCATGTTTGACATTGCCTGTTAGGTTTTTATAATTACTATTTTCGTTATATGTAACTGTACGTCCCGCGTCCCAAGTGCAGGAGTCACCATTGCACTGTGGTGATAGCCCGGAGAGCACATTGTATATACACCTTGCATATATATATATAGGAGTGTATAAAATTTTGTCTTTACTGTACCAAGCTTGTTTAAATTCGCATGAATATTTAGTTTGTGCGGTTTCCAGTTCTCTAGTTTCTGTCCAGTGAAGTGTAAATATACACACTAACATTGTACTGTCTTGCACGAAAATACTGTAAAATACAGGCAAACAAGGTTTGAAAATATTTTGCAAACTGAACATCAGATCGGAAATAAAAGTTTGTCCCAGCAACCAACAAATGAAGCAGTAGTCTTACAAGAAAGTCACAGATAGATATATACCGCAATGAATATAACAACATATATATAGCCAAATTGACCAACAATAACGAAACCCAAATTAACCTACAAAACAAAACAACAAAACGCAAAGCACCCAAAGAAAACCGACGAAACAAGCCTTATAAAGCCTTTTCATGTACCCAATTGTATATGGATATAATGATATATAAATCCCAGCGTAAGGATAACTCAAAGTATACGAAGCAAGACAAAATAAAAATAATGAAGCGAATTAGCAATACAACTACAACATGACAAGATATTCCAGAGATACTAACAATCAAAGCTGAGACAGATATAAGAGCTAGGTTATCCCAACAAGAAAAGTAAATGCCAAAGACTAAGCCTTTGCATTGCGATTTTACTGAACATAAAGATGATTGAATATAAAGATTCAAGACACATTCTCACCAAATACAAGTGAATTAAATCCCAGCACAAGGATAACTCAAAGTCTACGAAGCAAGAAAACAAAATAAGAATATTGAATTGCAATAGCAATACAGCACGAGAAGACGTTCCAGAGATACTAACAATCAAAGCTGAGACAGATATAAGACATAGGTTATCCCTACAAGAAAACTAAATGCCGAAGACTAAGCCTTTGTATTGCGATTTTCCTGACCATAAAGCTAATACAAACGAATTAAATCCCAGCACAAAGATAACTCAAAGTCTACGAGGCAAGACAACAAAATAAGAATAATGAATCGCAATTGAAATACAACATGAGAAGACGTTCCAGAGATACTAACAATCAAAGCTGAGACAGATATAAGAGCTAGGTTATCCCAACAAGAAAAGCAAATGCCAAAGACTAAGCCTTTGCATTGCGATTTTACTGAACATAAAGCTATTGATTGAATATAAAGATTCAAGACACATTCTCACCAAATACAAGTGAATTAAATCCCAGCACAAGGATAACTCAAAGCCTACGAAGCAAGAAAACAAAATAAGAATATTGAATCGCAATAGCAATACAGCACGACAACACGTTCCAGAGATACTAACAATCGAAGCTGAAACAAATATAAGACATAAGTTATCTTTACAAGAAAACTAAATGCCGAAGACTAAGCGTTTGCATTGCGATTTTACTGACCACAAAGCTAATTCAAACGAATTAAATCCCAGCACAAAGATAACTCAAAGTCTACGTGGCAAGACAATAAATAGGAATATTGAATTGAAATAGCAATACAACAAGAGAAGACGTTCCAGAGATACTAAAAATCAAAGCTGAGACAGATATAAGACATAGGTTATCCCTACAAGAAAACTAAATGCCAAAGACTAAGTGTTTCATTGCGATTTTACTGACCATAAAGTTAATACAAACGAATTAAATCCCAGCACAAAGATAACTCAAAGTCTACGAAGCAAGACAAAAAAAAATAATGAAGCGAATTAACAATACAACTACAACATGACAAGATATTCCAGAGATACTAACAATCAAAGCTGAGACAGATATAAGAGCTACGTTATCCCAACAAGAAAAGTAAATGCCAAAGACTAAGCCTTTGCATTACGATTTTACTGAACATAAAGATGATTGAATATAAAGATTCAAGACACATTCTCACCAAATACAAGTGAATTGAATCCCAGCACAAGGATAACTCAAAGTAGATAACATGCTCGTCTTAATTAGCAGATAGAAAAAGCTTTACAGAAGGATGAAGAGCTTATCAGAAGAAAGGACAAAAATAGTGCATGTTTGACATTGCCTGTTAGGTTTTTATAATTACTATTTTCGTTATATATAACGGTACGTCCTGTGTCCCAAGTGCAGGAGTCACCATTGCACTGTGGTGATAGCCGGAGAGTACGTTGTATATACACCTTTATATATATATATATATATATATATATAGGAGTGTATAAAAACTTTTGTCTTTACTGTACCAAGCTTGTTTAAATTCGCATGCATGTTTAGTCTGTGCGGTTTCGAGTTCTTTAGTTTCTGTCCAGTGAAGTGTGAATATACACACTAACATTGTACTGTCTTGCACGAAAATACTGTAAAATACAGGCAAACAAGGTTTGAACCAACAAACATTGTATTATTTCCTTGGGAAGACTTTAACGATTTCATGGAACAAAAAAATAAACCTAGTCAATGCACATTTTTCAATACATCTATGGTTTTGTTACTTATTCATTTTGAATGATCATTTGTTCACTCGACTGTTTGGTGTTAAGTAACTATTTAAATATTCAATTATTAGGCAAATTGTTACAATCATAAATGGTGTCAAATTTATTTCATTTTTTTAAGGAATTACACAGCGGAGGAAGATCAAAAGTTGTTAACGTACATAAAAGAACATTAAAGAAAAGTGTACGGCAACAACTTTTGGAAAAAAAATGGCGAAAGAAAATGTAATGCATTGACGATTATTTCGTAAAATGGGATCAGCACTTTGATATAATTTGCCTGATCTAAATTTCTCTAGATCATTGAAGGAAGAACGTGGCAAATCCTGAAAGGCCGTTACAATAGATATTTCAGTAAGTAAGTCAATTAATAAACACATGTTTGCTTTCAGTTTGGTAAATGTCAAAGAGATATAAGAATTACATGTGAAGAAGATAAATATTTGATTTCTATGGATTATTAAAGCTTAAGTTTGATTTTGATATCAAGAAACACACATTTAGGCTTGCTTTTATCTATTCCTTGATTACAGAAAACACGACTGAAGATGAGCCGTCTCCTCAATTTTGAAAAGCCATCAAGTAGTTTTTATGATGCTAAGAGGACAATTACATGGAGCAATTTCAACCCGGGCTTAGTTTCAGCCTGTTTGTCGTGCTGAAATTTCAGCAAGGTTCTGTTACAAACAGAATGTAAAATAAATAAATATTAATACAATATAATATAGATGAAATTATACGTGATATAATTTAGATATTTATATAATATATGTATTTATATTTACAATATTTAACACCGGATCCAAAGCAAAGTACATACTTTTGAAGCGTTATTCTTCTTTTATAACAAAGCTCATGGTGTTTGTATTGAAAATAAGCGAGAAGTTAGCTTTTCTGAACAAGATTCAATCAAAAGATTTGAGAATATCATTTACTCACGTGCATGTCAGGAAAAGAAGGGCCTGGGCACAAGGTGCTCTACCATATCTGAAATAGCCTTCACCCACATTCAACGATATCACTCTCAACTACAAACTCATCACCTCTGTTGCCGTTATTGTTATTACCACTGTTACCACCACTCTAATCATCACCGTTTCATTCGCAGCTGTCGTCTTTGTCTTTATGTATTTTGTTCCACCAGCGAAAGAAAAAACTGTCAACTTTTATTTGTTGGTTCCTTCTAGGATAGTTTCCATATTTGTCGGTCCCGAAAGAATAACTATTAATTTTGGTTCTATTTCCACACGCAACAAAGATAGTGTGAACCAGTTATATTTCTCAAACAATTTATTAATCAAGGTGTAAATGTTAAAGTAGATAAGTGTCTTAATAATAATATCAATAAGTATGAGCAAAACTTATCTCCTCTGTCTGAGTACAACCAAGAGTTTTTATTCTGAGGGTTCGTGAGTCCAACAATGACTCACAATAGTTTTCCAATAGATTAAAGCACAGTAAAATATGGATGATGTATAATCACTTGCACAATTTTTATTGATTAATATTGTTAACAGCAGATGTCATCAACGTTTGGCTCGTGCTAAATTTTCGTAAATGGAAGATGTATTCTATCAATTTATATACAGTCTAGATGTAATTTATCAACATATAATATTACACTTCAAAACTTCATTGTATTCAGCCTTATTGATCCTTGAATATTCTACAGAACGGCATTTCGTGATTAAACATATTTTCCTTAATGTTGGTTTGGTGATACATCTTTCAGCGTCAACAACAGAAAATAGTTAAAACAATATTTTACCATATGTGTGAAGTTTTTCTTGGCAAATTTCTCAATACATAACATGTATTTGTAGTTAATCCGTTGTTTTATTTTTGTAGTTTGTTGTAGCTCTTTTAAAATTTTGTCATTATACTTGTGATGAAAGGTAGACAATCCAGATAAAGGCAGATATGGTAAAACATTGGCATGACCATTACCCTTTGCAGGGCCTTTGTGTCCAGGGACGAAACGATAATAAATAAACATTGAAAAAGTCAAAATGTTCGGTGAGAAATCTTCAAAACACAGTTGTATGAATGCATTGAAAGCAAATTTTTTACCATGCCTATGTTATAGAAATACAAGCAAGTGGTTAGTTTGTTTTATATCTCACTGCTATACTGTCCTAGTTTTTTGTGGACGTGCCAGGAATCATATCTTCACATTAAGAATAATCTAGGAGATTTTGTCGATCTATAAGTAGTTATGCATGGCCTTATGGGAAGAAAATAAATAAAAGCTCTGCTGCTTGAGTTCCAAATTAGCAACGAGATGAGAATTTAACAGTTTTACATGTATTGCGGCTATTGCCTGTGATAAATCACCATTGAGCATCTGGACACAGCGAATGATGTTAGGATTTCATTGTAATTGAGGGAGCAAAGTGGATTTGGTTTTGTTTCTAAACAAGTTCTATGGTTTTGGTTTCCCAAGTCTAGAATTGTTCTCTAAACACAAAAAAATCAAATGATTTGACTCAATGACTGGAGTCATATTTTACTTGTGCATGTTTGACATTGCCTGTTAGGTTTTATAATTACTATTTTCGTTTTATATAAACGTACGTCCTGTGTCTCAACTGCAGGAGTCAACATTGCACTGTGGTGATAGCCAGGAGAGCACGTTGTATATACACCTTGCTTATATATATATATATATATATATATAAGAGTGTATAAAAATTTGTGTTTACTGTACCAAGCTTGTTTAAATTCGCAAGCATGTTTAGTCTGTTTTCATTTCTCTCAAAGACTAAGCGTTTGCATTGCGATTTTACTGACCATAAAGCTAATACAAACGAATTAAATCCCAGCACAAAGATAACTCAAAGTCTACGAAGCAAGACAACAAAATAAGAATAATGAATCGCAATAGAAATACAACATGAGAAGACGTTCC